TTTTGCGGTTTAATTTAAAATGATAACATGATTTTTAAATGTGAACAGCCTACAGTTATTCTTCGATATGTATTGTATGTATGTTGAAACGACATATGTGATATTGCGTTTAACCTTGGATTTGATTATTCACGAGGAGAGCCTTTTCATAAAAGACAACGAGTTTTCGGGCGTTCGACTCCTTAAGAAAATGCCACAGATAAGGGATGCAAATCCAGAGAAAGTCCGTGACGATAAATGTAACGAGAAAAACCTTTAATTCCCGAGTTTTCCCTGCCTGTATCGATGTCAGGAGCTTAATAGTTCTTGTGGTAAAGACAGGCAAAACAATCAAGGTCATTATTACAGTATAAATCTGGAATATTCTACAATGCCAGGCATTTTGCCGACAAGGCTCAGCTCGGCAAAATTTCTCGTTCCATTTTAAGGTGTAACAAGTGAAGCAGCCGCTGCGCTTCGTGGCGCGGACGGCGCGCCGAAAATAACGAATAGCAGCGTGAGCCCACATATTTGCTAAGTTTATTAACAAAAATATGATTTTATATATTTATGGCTTGTGCAGTCTATCTGTGAGTGAACGTAGGACTCTGTAATGGATTGAATTCTGTCTAAATCGAAATACAATTTATTAATAATTTAAGAACATGTACAAGCTGATTGTTGTTTTTGTCAGGAGTGGGCAGTTCAATTTTGACCTAAAATTTAAATAATTTGAGCAAATTAATGTACAAAAACATTTACGGTCCGTGCTAAAGACTAACATGACATATTTATGTATCTTTTAATTTTGTGTGAAATATGTGTGTATGTACATATATGTAATTAACCCTCCTAAATTGTATAGTTTAGTCCAGCTAAGTTGTATGCAGACAAATTATTTTGATAATAGGTAAAGAATTTCAGTTAAGGTTAGCAACATATTATGTAGTATCTTGGCACATAGTGGTTAAAAAATTATTCAAAAAATCGGTAGTTATTAATTACATAATATGTAATTAATAATAGATAATCACTATTAGTAACTTACTAGTAGGCAATGACAGGGAATCTGCAAAATGCAAGTACGCTGTACTTTGGCAGCCCCTGTGATATGTAAATAAATACGCATTTACTTATGTAGCTATACAGGAATGAAATTAAAAAACAATAAGATAAAAAATCCAAGCTCAAAATATAATTATAAAATATAATGGTTGCTAAGTTTCGAACCCAAAAATTTAAATTTATATATACGTATCACTTATCCTAACTTATGCAGAAATAAAATAATTATTTTTAAAATGTACGCACGATACAACTTCTGGCCTTGGGAAGCGAGAGTGATTGAAGTATTGGCAGGTTTTGCCGTTTGAAAATTTCATATTGATGAAGTAAATTTGTGATCGATTGATACTAGTTTAGTCAAAATCTTTGAGCATACATACGTAGGCATACCTCCTTTACAATGTGTACATATAATGACAATGATAATATAACAAGTTTAGTTTTTTAATCAACATTTTGGTTCTGGATTGACCATATTTGGTTTAATTGCACAATACCATTTTTGTGTTCGCATGTCGATGAAGGTTTCAGGCCATGAGTAAATACTATGCTACATACATAGATGCACTCGTAAATCCGATATTAAAATAATACCAAGCCATACTCATATTACTATGAATCTATTTATTTTATTATAAGTATGTATATGAACATCCATAAAACAAGTATTTCTGTAAAAAAACACTTATTATGATCGAGAGTATTTAGTATTAAATTATGATCGGTTAAACATTCTTAATACTTAATTTATGTAATCTGGGGAATACCTTGATGAACAAACTGTATATGTAATTATTCTCAGTTTTTACTTACTTATTATTGACTTGATTCCAATTAAAACGAGTCTTCCTTCCAATGATTAAATACGTTAAGTGAGGTAATGCTTAATCTTAAGTAGTCTGAAGTGTGCTTTTACCCTCACATCAGCAAATGTAATATGCAATTAATAGCAAGCAAATTTGCAAGGAAATGCATACATACATAATTTAGCGTCTGTGAAGTAGTGGTCTCAACGGTGCGGTTCGGTTCGGTTCTTGGAAGAACCGGTTTAGAACCGAGACCCAGAATTGAAGAACCGAAACAGAACCGAACTTTTTTTAGTTGGAACCGAACCGGAACCGGACCAAACCGTGACCGAACCGGCGGTTCGGGTCAAACCGGTAGTGTTATTAATATGCAATAAACAACAAACAATGCTAATTGACGTGTTTCTGATGAAATTTCACATATAAGCCAATAACTTATCTGTATTTAAACAAGCAAATTCTAATACATGTCAACAGCAAAACCACTTATGTATATATTATTGAAGTTAGAAAACAATTCCAAGTTTGGGGTGCAACCAAGTCAAAATTTCATTTTGGAAACATTGGGGGTGTAACCAAGTCAAAATTTCATTTTGGAAACATTTGGGGTATGACCAAGTAAAAATTTCATTTTGGAAACATTTGGGGTGTAACCAAGTCAAAATTTCATGCTGGAAACTTTGGGGTGTGACCAAGTAAAGATTTCATTTTAGAAACTTTTGGGGGTAAAAATTTCGTTTAGGAAACTTTGGGGGTGAAAATTTCATTTTGGAAACTTTGGAGGTGTCATCAAGTCAAAATTTGGTTTTGGAAACATTGGGGATGTAACCAGGTCAAAATTTCGTTTTGGAAACATTGGGGGTGTGACCAAATAAAAGTTTCATTTTGGGAACTTTGGGCGTGTCATCAAGTCAAAATTTGGTTTTGGAAACATTGGGGGTGTGACCAAGTCAAAGTATCATTTCGGGAACTTTGGGGGTGTGGCCATGTCAAAGTTTCATTTTGGGAACTTTGGCAGTGGGGCCACGTCAAAATTTCATTTTGGAAACTATGTGTATTTCGGGAAATTCTTAAAACTTTTTCGAAAATATGATTAACTTCGCTAATGTATTTATGTATGAAGTTCGGTTCAACCCGAACCGGCCGGTTCGGTTCTCAAAGACTTGGAACCGGAACCGAACCGGTAATAAAAGTTTCGGTTCGGTTCGGTTCTCCGTATAAACCGGAACCGAACCGAGCCATCGGTTCCGGTTCGGTTCTATGAGAACCGAGAACCGTTGAGACCACTACTGTGAAGTCACTTACATAAATACACTCTAAACAAATTTGAGTAAAATTTACATGTATGACACAACTGGTTCTGTAAAATTTACCCGACGAAGGTAAAATTTACCCAAGGTTGAAGGAAAATTCTAAATTTTAATTTCCGCAAACTTGTGTCATGACAAATTTTTCTCAATTTTGAATAAATTTTAACCAAATTTATTTAGAGTGTACATATTCATTAGTGATGACGTTGTATCATAACGGTGCATTATTAAGTTCACAACGAACACTCTTTTAAGTAATGTTACTCTTATAAAACGTTAATGCACTTTAAATTCTGTATAAGGAAACTATACAAAATCTACAGTATTTGTTAACTTGAAAAAGATACAAGTTTACTCTGAATTTAGCATAGTTTACATAATGTAGAATTCTGACTGCATCTACATATTTAGATACTTTTTAAAACGGTAAGATAATTTTTAAGAGTGAAAATAACCTTGAACTTGCATAACTAGTTTAATAATTATCTATGTATGTGTGTACAATATAGCACTTTGTGGTATTGGCCGGAACAAAAACTACTGACAGAATTTCCCATGCAAGCCACTACAAATATCCGACAGGGTTCCTAAGACACTGTGTCTTTAGAAATTTAATTTGACACCGTGTTTTTCGTTCTTAGCGCATAATAAGACAGAAAAAATATTGCTTTTTTAGTAATGTGATTGGTTTACGGTACGTGGAATTGATATTCAAAATTTGATAATTTTATTTTTGAGAAACAAGCTTTAAAAAATAATAAATGCATCGTACTCCTTAAGGTTGCCGAAATATGATTTGAAAAAAAGAGGGGGCTCTACAAGTTTTTTTATATCACAATAATTTTTTGTTTTTATTGATCAGAGTATAAGCTGTGTTCGCAGAGTTGGTACGAAAATAATCACAAAGTATCGCAAAAAGCCGACTACGCAAGAGTCGCACAAGAAAGGTCCCTAACTTAAAGAAACGCAGAAAATCGCAGAAAAGGTCCGTAAGAATGGGAGAGAGAGAGAACGGACTACAAATAGTACACTTCCTCCAGTTCCTTTCCTGGAGGAAGTGTACCTAGAATCGAGGCAACGTTCCCACGTTGCGCGGCGAGCGAAACCCGCTGGCGTAAAAAGTTAACGGCGTTGGACTGTCCAGTTGCGGCGGCGATCCTCTGGCCAACTTGGAGGATGAAGGCCAGTCCCTCTTGGCCCCAAACTCCCGTGGTCTCCATGGCAACGGGATCACAATAATAATATTTTCCCTGGTAATTATGGGATATTCATACAAGATATTTTTATTGCTTGAATTACGTAGATATGCAAGGGACCGTCCATTAACTATGTCACGCGAGAGGTGGAGGGTGGTCCATGACCACGATTACATCGTGCCTATGTGACACATGTAAAACGGGGGAGGGGGGGGTCTAGAAATTCGCGATCTTTGCGTGACATAATTTATGAATGTCCCCTAAGGAACACACATCCGCTAAAAATGTACCCAGCTTTGCAAAAATTACGAAATATATAATTATGAACACATCTTTGTTTCGTCGAGTGAGTCCTTTTTATCTTTCATTCGGTCAAATTTAACAATACATGGGTAACATTCATACATATATTACGTCATAAAAAATACGTCGATGTTTATGTATACCACTTACCAATTAAGCCCGCTCCTACCTCACTTATGTTAATCTCACCATGAATCTCAAAGTCGTCAGCAACAATGTTTTTAATGTAAAAAATCCAAGAATCTATTTCGCAATCAACACTGTAGGAAGCTGTAATGAAAAGGAAAAATAGTGTAAAAGCGAGAATTCACACGTGCCCTCATCCAGTACTACTTGAACTTGCAATCTCATCAGAGTGCGTCACTTCTCCAATTTTTAAACCGAGATATTCAATCGCAATAAATTACATACTCTGTCAGTGACAAGGGACTAATTTTACATAACTAACGACAATGCCGACCAATGAAATGAACACGTGTCGTGTCAAATTTTCCGTTAAGTTGGATCAATTATCCGAAAAGTTGAGCACAAAGGTGAAAAATGTGATTAAATCGAGTCCGTCTACGGTGCTGGAGAAAGAGTTTGACTTTTTTGTCCCACCAATGTGGAGGTAAGCGGAACAATAAATTTGAAACGAAACGAATATATATGCACACTAAATAATTTGAAACAAATCTGCACCAACGGGGCTACTATAAATACATTACTTTATGTATTTATGGGTAATGATTATGGAGACGTTTTGTCACCAAAGGGAAATACATAAATCAAACATAAACGGACGTGACGTCGTTCTTAAAAATTTTTAAAACTTTCATGTCAAACAATCCGGGGGTCATCCATATCTTACGTTAGAAAAAATTCTCGATTTTTGCACCCACCTACCCGACGTAAACATTAAAGGATAAGGAATTTCAACATGAGAACGATAGGAGGACCCAAACCACCCACCCACTAAAATGCTGACGTAATATATGGACATTCCCTTCTTTGTTCAGATAATAAAAATGATAATTTTTTAAACAACGTTACATGAATTTGATTTATTTCCCATTGGTTACAAAACGTGTTCTTAATCATTAACCAAAAATAGAGCGACATAGTCCCTCTTTTTGTCTCCAAATTATTTTAGAGTGTAAGAATTACGAATCTCTGATTTCGCAAGTGTAACGCAAAAATGTCGTGAACACATTTACTAATTTATTAATTTATTTATTCACAGCGCTGATAGTATTGCGGAAACATCACCGGAGATTACTACCGTCACGGAGGAGATTGAGGAGTGGATTTCCGATAGTTACAGCTCCTTCGTGTCGCCCGTGTATGGCGAACGACTGGCGAATCACGCTGTGTCGTACATACTCCGAATTTTCCCCAGTTATCCCCTGGGCGATGCAAAGTTCCGCATTTTGTGCTACTATTTCATAGTAGCGTTCATTTTGGACGACTATTTCGACGATAACACGGGCGAAGGAGATGGAGATGATTCCGCGGAGACGAAGAAGATCAAATATTTTGAAACAGCGACCAACACTATTGGCGAAATGTTCGAAATGAAAGGAGTTGGAGGGGGAAAGGATGAAATTGGCATGTTTTTCATGAAACAAAGACAAATAATTGCCTCAAATTTTTCTAGGTTTTTCATATTTTTTTTACTTTACAAAGTTTGAATTTATTGAAATAGATTAAAATTTAATTGTTGCTTACACTCTTAATAAAATAATTTTAAAAAAGCTTGCTTAGGCGAGGCACTGCTAAAAGTGAAAAACAAGGCCTCTGAGCATATCTTTTAAATATCTCGTATCTTTATCATTGTAACAGGAGTTGGTGGCTTTGCATCACCGTGAGGGCAAACATTTTTACCGTTTACCATACCAGGACGTTTATTACTTACATTTTCTTCTAAGAAATTCAATTATTGCTAATTAAAACTGTATCTATATGTATAAATGCTTAAACAAACTTATTGCTTCGAAAGGGTTATAAAATTGAGTGGATTTATGCAGAGGACCAATATGATCAATAATGTTTATTTAGCTCATAATTAAATTCGATAGTTAACCAGTAATTCAGGAAGCTAATAAAATTTGATGGATGTGCACAATTTTCAATAGGTGTTATGCAAAAAATTAAGATGCCGACGCATGAATAACAATGCGAGGGTATTTCCTAATTTTATTTACATATTAAAACAACTAGTTTTGAGTACGAACTAAAAAGTGATAAATGATAATTTTGACGTGAACCCAGAATAGGTTCTTGCTAATTCTTGAGAATATATTCTTTATTGCTAGAGGCTTGGCGTAAAATGTTTGGCCTCGCGGTGATGCAAAGCCACCAACTCCTGTTACAATGATAAAGATACGAGATATTTAAAAGATATGCTCAGAGGCCTTGTTTTTCACTTTTAGCAGTGCCTCGCCTAAGCAAGCTTTTTTAAAATTATTTTATTTCATGGATTTTAGGTGATGCACATTTTCAGACAATTAATTGCACCTCAAAATTTTTAAACTTTTTGAAATGAAGACCGAATGTCTTGAATCTTTTTCATTACAAAATTAGTTGAAAATACGTACAGGGGGTCGCAAAATTAATTTAAAAAGGGATTTAGGATCAAATAATCCAAATTTTTTAATTAATTTAGCAGATAATAATTTTTCAGATATTAGGTTTTACGGGGATTAGTTATTTTACGAGAAGAATTTGGATTAGGGAGGAAGATTATTTAATCTGGATTAGATTATAAATTACAAAATGAGCTTATAAACATTTAAATTCAAGTAAATTTGACACAGTACTTAAACATAAAATTATTGAAATTTGAATTTGCAAAAGAATTTAATTAATCTGGATTAATAATCATGCCCAACACTGATCAGGAGGAAAGTTTTTGTGCGATTGGCCAGAAATGGAAATTACAATGTACCAATTAATTTGGCAAATTAAAATTGCGTAACACAACTACTTTTATTTGGAAAATTGTTATATTGATAGCTAGTAGCAACCAGCTAGGAATATTGTAATTCTGATGCAGAATGCTTAGCAACATGAATAGTTTCATATGCCTCCATCAAAACTTTTTCAGTTTTGGACCGATCTCGGTCGGATTTGTTTTAAATGACGCACAGCCGATTTCTGCATGATAAAATCAGGTTTTATGCATATAGTCCCGTGGCACAAGTATCTCAAATTTTGATTTTAAAGTTTCAAATCCAAATTTGAGAGCGAAGAATAAAACTTTTCTATCGGGCATATTGAAAAACCACATCTCCTAATTCTCCTCTGCACGATTACTCTTTACATCATTTGCGTAGGATTAACCGTTTAGGCTCTAGTCTCGCTGACACTTTCAAAGGGTGTATACGAAAGCATACTTAGGCTTCGCCGTAACCATGGTGACGCTTTTTTGCGGGCACCCATTGTTACTTTTGCCTCACCTAAGAAAAATAATGTGGGTATTCACGTCAACTTCGCAAACGCCGTAAACGTCGCTTCGCAACATATCTTCGCAAGTTTGCGATGTTTGCGAAGAGTCGCGATGCGACAACCAATCAGATTGCTTTATTTTTTTACGAAACATGCGAAGCAAAAAGGCACCTGTTATCGTCGTAAACTATTTTTCGCAAACTCATCGTGAAGCAAAATTTTCATTTCTCCTCATTTTTGGAAATGTTGCCAGACAACCTTACGTCAAATGAATTATTTTTTGCTAATAATCAATTTACGCATTTTCATATACAATAAGTCGTTCACGACACCGATTTCGCAAACACCGCAAAGTTGCGAAGATGTTTTGCGAAGCGACGTTTTTTAGTGACGCGAATACCCACAATTGAAGTACGAATAAATACACTTTGAATTCTATATCAAGTAAACTATAGTAATATATCCAAAACTGTTTTACAACTTAACAGCAAAGTTTAAAAATTTGACTATGCATGTTTCCCTAATTTATTCCAGATTTCAACCAAGTCGCCACGAAGGCCATGGGAATGGACCTGTTTAAGGAACAACCATTCTTCATAGCGATTGCAAACTCGATCGAAGACACGTTACCCCAGATTCAAGAGATTAATAAAGAAATTACACTGAACAAGTTTTGGGCAGCTTTTAAGGTGGACTTTCGTCTAGGATGCGAATCCGTCCGCTGGACCCTGATGAACGCGAGGAGTGGAAAGTTGGACTCGTTCTGTGTGGATACGTATCGCTATTTTAAGGCTAAAGTAAGAGTCTGAGAATAATTTGTAAGCAGAATTTAGCGATTGTGTACATACATGTGTAGATTTATGTATGTATTGGGCAGTGTTGTGGTGTGGTAATTAATTACGAAACTAATTAATTACTAAACTAATTAGAACAGAAAGCCAAAAGGAATTAGTAATTTTTTTTAATTACTTGGGAATGTAATTGCAGTTAATAATTCATTATTTTGCTTCAACTGAGCCTAGAAGTAATTAATTGCCAAAAGTAATTAATTAAAAATTTGAATCCTTATTGTGTAAACCCTGGAATTGGGAGACGATCACGGTTGGGTTTAATCCGATTTTTCGGTACCCGACTCACCTCTGACTCCCGCCATGCATGGATTGCATATCAAACAATGCCTATTTGTCCTAAAATTATTTAAATAATTGCAATTTTTCTGCTAGGAAAGTGGCTTCGGAAACTTTCTAAACATTATCACCATTCTGGAGTGCATCGATTTGCCCGAAGTGATCCAGTGCAATCCCGTCTTCGCCGTGTGGTTCGACATAGCCAGAAACTGTTCGGGCTAATGAACGATGTCCTCGGGTTGCAGAAGGATCTGTTGTACGGAGAAGAAGATGGCATGGTTATGTTCAAGGTGAGAAAGGGGACCTCACTGAATGATGCGGTGGATGAAGAGTTGAAACTGCTTGGGTGGGTTGCTAAATAATCAAATCTGTATATTTTTAAATCAGAAAATTTTCAAAATGTTTTTGTGGCCAAACAACAAAAAACCTTATCTTAAACGACTATTTTGAAATGCAGAGACTACGTGAAAGATTACATGGAGCTGAGAAAATCCCTGCTAACCGAGTTTGAGGAGAAATACGGGCAGGTGGCGACCTTCGTCAAATTCGTGGATGCAGCCTTGCACGGGTCTCCGTATACTTTTAGAGATTCGATCAAATACGGAATGAAGGACCAAATTCGGATGGACTATAAATAACCGGATTTTTTTTTGTAAAAAGACCGCATTTTTGCACACACTGTCAAAACATCTTGTCGACTAATTGAGCAGATTTTATATACATACTTATTTTGATGTGTATAAGTAAATGTATGTACACATTTACGTGCAAAATAATAAATTGGAAATCAATGCATAAAAATTTTTTGCCCGTGTGTCATCTTGCACAATGTTTTTAAACGATATGCATAAATTTCCATGCAACTTCAACGACTTACGACTTATTAACCACCTATACAATAGGTATTTTTCGACAAATTAATTTTGCATGATTTTTATTTGCATTGCATTGATTAAATCTCGGCCTTGATGAAATTTGAAAACAGGACCATTGTTAGTTTTTACTTATTTGTATTGATTTGTTTTATTAAACGAATTCCTAAGGCTACATAAATTTCGTTATGAATGATTAGCTGTGTTTTATTTAATGATTAACATAGTCGACTCGAAATCACACACCTTTTTGATGACGCAATACATGGGCGTTCCCTACATACCTACATTCCAGAGATTGTGAAAAAGTTGGATAGGCGATCTCCTAGTTAAAATTAAGCAGGGCCTCAAAACGTTTCATAAATTGGTTCGGGACATAATCAGGTTCGCTGGTTTCCGGTGGGACATCTCTCTTTCCGAGACGAGCAATCTTTGCCCACTTTTCTGTGCGGCCTGCTTGCAACATTTTCTCAGCCAACAGCATTACTTCCGGGGATAGAGATTGTTTTGCAGAGAGCTGTAAATTGGATAAAATTACTTGGATAAAGAAGGATCCAATAAGGGAACGTCCATACATTACGTCATCAAAAAGGTGAGTGGGTAGTTTTGGATCGCACATGTTAAGCTTAACATGATTAGAATTGGGAAAGGGTTGTTGGGTGGTTTAAGAACTGGTGCCTTTTTGATGACGTAACATATGCACGTTCCTTAAGAAAATTACGTATATATGAGGGAAAATACCCGTTTTGGTACCCGGCTTCGGTGCAATTGGTACATGAAAATGGCGTGGATAAAATCAGTGAAGCTAAATTCTGGCCATGTGGTCGGGATGAAGTGAACATAGGCGTGGCTGGCCTCCCACAGCATGAAGTCGGATAGTCGCAGATCTCCCCCGGTTCGAATTAGCATGTCGACAGGTCTCATGTCCACCAGATTTTGGGCCTGTTCGAGTAAATACTCGTTCCATTTGATTGGCGGGATCATTTCAAAACTGTCATTGACGTTTGTCATTTTTTTGTCGGATTTTTGGCCTTCAAATTCTTTCAAGCTCCGTAGGATACCTTCCCGACCTGAAATTCAGGCTGCACATGCATGATTTGTCTGGGCTATAATTTAATTTGTCTTTAACCTTTATATAATATTAATATCGTATCGCACTTATGAAATTTAAAGGTTTGAAAATCAAGGTCACGGAATTTTCGTAAGAGGATCATATTTGTAAAAAACAAACCATGTAAATTGAGGCCTAGAAACATCTCTATCCAAAACGGTTTTACAATGAGAACGCAAACCATGTTCAACCCTCATTTTTTTAATTGTTCGTATTAAGTAATAAGCCGTACCCAAATGTACTTAATTACTTACGAATTGCTACTATATATGTATAGGGTAATATGTATGGCACTACGCAAAAAAGCATGTGATCGAAGGGGGCGGGTAGAGGTAAAGAGGTTTTATTTTTCCTATGCTAAATAATTATAAAGGGATGGTTTGAATGTCACGCTACTATGGCAAATTTTGCAATGCGAAAAATTCTTAAATTTCCACTAGCTATCGAAATTTTGTCTATGAAATTCAACATTTTAATAATTTTGTCATCAGTGTTGCATCAGTTTTGATGAAAATTAATAAAAATCTCAATCTTAAATCTTGCAACTAATGGAGATCTATCTGTAGGTGCTTTTCGCATTAAAAAATTGTACATTGTAGCGTGACATTTAAGCCAACCTCACACCAGGTTGTACGGGTCAAAATTCTCCGAAAAACTATCACATGCTTTATGCATAGCCACCATTAATGGCATTGATTTTTGCATGTGTATGTACCTGTATACCCGACAGCGACATTGAGTTTGTATGGTTTAAAATTCTTCGTTTTCTGCATCAAATTTGCCAAGCGAAATTTCAACTTTAGCGGAATACTGTCCCAATTTCCAATCACTTGGAAACACATTGATGTATTTTTCCCGGTATCACTAAACACAGAACAAGAAAGGAGATCAACAATATTTTACTAGAGGAAACCCGACGAATAGTATGTACACAATTTAACCCAAAAATTCATAAAGAAGTAAATTTTCGCATTCTAGGAAATGTTTAAATTCGTGATTCAAGACTATGTGTTAAGTAGTTCTAAAAAATTGTGGTCATGCATGGTGTCTGAGGTAAGTAATTTTTATTTCTAGAAGGTCCCTAATTTTCACTATTTTCTCACCCCGGTGTAAAATCTGACCCGTTTTAAAAGATTTCTCCGATGACAAGGAGATATCAAATTTGAACATTGTTCTTGCCAAAAATTTTGACATTCACATTTCCAGTTTTTTTTAAGTTTTACTAAAATCATTGAATTTTTCCCTCCACACGAAATACCTACCTTCTCTAAAAGTCACAGAATTACTGCATTTTCTTGTTTTTCTTTACATCTTAAATGGTTAAACAATATTTAGTTTAAATACTTTTTTTCTTACACGGCCCGTATCATTAATCCGACCTTCCTATAAATGACATCCATCACGTCTTCAACTTCTTTCTCGGTGCGCTTAAAGTTTTCGGAGGAGAAGGCGTAAAGGGTGAGTTCTTTACATCCGATCGCTTCGACCCACTGGGCCAAAAGCGTGGTCACACTTGACCTGTAAATAATAAATTAAGCATAAATCCTAAGTTCAGTAAAAAAAATTGCATGTCTTCAAAAACTTTTTTTAAATCGATCTATTTTTAACCTATGAAAACATGCATAATGTTAGGTTTTCATATAAATAATTTACCCAGCTTCATGCCCGAGCACAGTCTTCAACCCTTTCGCCCTCGCATAGCGACGATTTCTACCAAAATGCAAATTATGAAGTACAAATTTTTTGAGCTGAAATTGAATTTCAATTTCTCAATTTTGCTAACCCATCCATTATGATGGCGATGTGTTCCGGTATTGGGCCCATTTTTGCAACCGAGGTGGCCAAAATTTCCCAAAAAGAGAGAGAATAAGGCTCAACGTTTGCCATTGTAAGGAACTATTGTTGCTTCAAATGTTGCACTTTTTAGTAAAGTGAGAATAAGGAAGCGATTATGATTCGTCGAAGTTTGGGGAGAATATGGGCCTATTTAGTGAGAAATTGCAACATTTTATATCAGATGGTCATTTAATATAAAATGTTGCTTAAAATATTGCACGCATAGTTTTAATCATTAAAATCTCAATGCGCGTCATTGAACTGGGGAAATACTTGTGCCCTTTATTTAATTGTTGTGAAGCAAAAATTATGGGGGAATTACATATCTTTTTAGTTAATTTTTTTATGTAGCGAGGCTTTTTTACCAGCCACGAGGCATTCTTCGACATTGGGTTAAATACCTAAATACAAAAGGCGATCAGACATGGTTTTCACGATTTCGCGCTTGAATATCTCTGGTGCAAATTCGAATTTTGAGCTGATTTTGATAGTCAAGCAAGATAATGCTCTCAAAAAGATATCTCTAAAATTTTAAGGCGATAGTTTCACAAATGTCCTCTCCAGTGCCCCCAGAGTTGGAATGTGCCAAAAACATACTTTCCAAACTTAACTACTCATGTGGCATGATTACCAAAGAGTTCAGAGGTGAAAAATTGTTTTTATTATAACCCCAGATAATTATTGTATCTAATAATAAAAGAATCCGTAATGAATAAAATAATGTGGGATTTCCAACATCGCTGATATTTTGCCCCAAAATGCGATCAATCCGAGCTTGCACGGGAAAATTGACCTGCTGACCTTGAAAGCTGACCCACTGGGTCAAATGACGATTGAGGGTAAAGCTGAAAGTGTGCTAAGTAATATTAAACCAAACAGTCAGCATTTTTGGTAAACAGTTTTGGAGAAGGACCCGAGCTAATCAGCTGACACCGAATCTTAAAAAAAACTCGTGAACTAATTTGGAAAATTAATGGTCAAATTTTGTTGAAAATAAATTTTAATAACTTTTTTGTCCCCTACTGCAGAACTATTCTACCTACAAGGTACAAGTGACAAGATGTTTAAATTAATGCGTTTTGGTTAGTTAAATTCTTTCTGAAGTTCGACCCGGATAACGACGGGAGCTTTTCTAAAAAATTTATAGGGTTTGATGAAAACTAAGTCCGTGGGGTGTAACCACTTATCAAAATTTTGTCAACCTACTTACAGTGCAATATACTATATGTACCTTGGATAAAAACAACTTTAGGGATTTTTAGCATCTAAGTCTTAAAATGTGGGGGCCTTAAAAGTGAAGGAGTTGCGTTCACAAGAGCATTCCATCAGGACAAGTAAGAATCTAGACTACAAAATGGACTTAAAAGATAAGCATGAGACAAAAGTGTTTTTATACAGTGAAAGGCATGCTAAGTCCCTTAATAATAGTCGCAATGGCGATTTTTTCATCAGGACCTTAGAAAAAAATATTTTGTTCGACGCCATTTTGTAAGAACACTGATTTGGAAAACTAAAAAAGGATACCTCTCCAAATTTGACCTTGCCTCATGACCCAGAGTGCACAAAACCGGATATGTTCACCATATGTTCACCTATAGTTTGAGACATGGGCTTTCACATAAAAAATGCTAAAAATCTCTCCAACGAAAACCCGTCTCGTGATTTAATTGTGAATTTGTGCAAACCATGTCTAATCACCTTTTGTACTTCATATTTGGTTGTGCTCGTGGCTTTAAAAAAAATGGCCTGAAAAATACCATTACATTAGCATCAGGAACAACAGCTTGGTTGTGCTGGACGACGTATTGCGCAACTTTCCTTCCGATGTTACATTGCATATGTACAAAGGGTATTGTGCAGTAGAAGGGAATATTCCAACGTGTCGAACAAGTTAAGAGATCAAAAGGTGTCAACTGTGCTGACACTTCAAAATCTAATAAATATAGTCACGCAAGTAATGTATTTAAAGTTTTAACCTGCTACCGCTTGTTGATTAAAACTATATCAGACCGTAAAAATTAGGTCACATTAAAACAAATGACTTCTTTAATCATAAAATGAACAAATTTTGAAGTTAATTTTTCTTTGTCAATTTATTTGTGAGATCTTAATTATCTTATCAAGGAGCGTGCATTGATAAAATATCTGTCTCCAAGATAATTATTCTGTCGGAGGTTGACCATTTCTCGGGTATTGCGATAGTCACAAATGGTTGCACGACATGACGAAAAGTTAACCTGGGTTTTTCATAAGTGTTTCATATGTACACATATTTAATTTGTATATATATTTTGGTGTTGGTCTCACATTTATAATTGTAAATAGTTAAACATGCTGTGCACATTGGTTCCTACATACTTTAATGCATTTGACACCTACACATGTTCCCTTGTGAGTATAATACTTACTAATTGTATGTATGCAATTTGGGGGAAACCTAGAGTAACAAGGTATGTACATGAGTATCTACCGTTTTTATTATCAACTTGACTTAAATTATTACATTCCTTCCAATTCCTAAACATACATAGGTTAAGTAATGGATTTATCCTCAAAGTATAACATGCAAGAAATTGGCAAGTTAGTGTGGTGATGTATATCAGTACACATTCTTGTAACCACAAAGTTCCTCAATCACTAACAATAACGCGTGTTTGCGAACTACTTAACGTACAGGCATTTATCTACATTTATTTATCAGGGGATGCTTGCATAATATTACTAATTGATACATCATATCTACTTACTATACATACCTGTTTCTTCAAGTTTTCAGCGTAATAAACATTGAACTTGTATACAGAACTATGTATATAATTTATGTAGTTCAGCTTTTTTACAGTGAACGGAGCAAAAAATGCGCATGTCGGAGAAAGACAATTATATTTACAGAAGTGTGTATGTATGTACATATATCTTGATATAATAATAATAATGGGAAATTTACTTTTTCATGCTATGCGAGTCAATCTATTACATAATTAGATAAAATCAAGTTGGAAATCATAGATTTTATAGTCAATTTGATCACGAAATTTAATGATTAATAGAAATAACTGATTTTTTCTCAAATTTCTAATGGTTAATTTTCCAAATTGAATAAAATGTTTGTGTAGAGAAAATTGGGTGGATACTAATTTTACAGTTTATTATGTAAGCGAGGTGAAATTTGTTACAGAGGGGTTTCAGCTATAGAGAAAAATAGCATAAATCTGGATAAAATTAGTGGGATCCATAATTTGGATCGGATTACAAATAAAATGCTCAAAAACTCCAACAATGTTTAAAAACTTTAAAACTTTTAAACATTTTAAGTAGTCGTTATTTAAAAAAACCGACTGTCATGCAGATGCAAATACATGATTAGGGGCCGTTCTTAAATTACGTAACGCTAAAAACTGATTTTCTCGACCCCCCCCCCTCCCCCTTTAACATGGCGTACATAGGCACGATATCATTGGGGCCCAAACCCCCTCCCCCCTTCAAGCGTTACGTAATTTAAGAACAGCCCATTAGCCTAAATTTCTGTACATGTTAAGTAAAATAAGTGTAAAGAACTAAATTTTATTTAAGTGACATCCCTACTCGCCAAGATTATCGGGCCGAAGAATATTCTAGAGTGGCAAGGGTGGTCAATGGTAGGCCGACTTTGCCAACCATTCCCCACTTGAATAATTTAAAAATTCGGTACCCCAAGAAACTACATATCCTCACCCCGAAAGTGGGAAAACGTTGGCAAAAGCATATTTAAAATGCATTTAATAATAAATGTCGGCACGAAGTCGGGCCTTTAGTGGCCAATTATTCCATGCGACGCCACCTATCGTCCGCAGCGTAGAATACAAACTTAAATCGATTTTCAGCACGAGATTCTGGCAGCATGGCTAAAATCACTCTTCCCCCGAAAGATAAATTCGCAGTTGTCGAATGTATTAAGGATGATAATTCTGTATCTATTGTGTCTACAAATTGGTTCATTGACACATGAATAGTCCACTGGCCATCATCACCCAACGTCACATCTATGGTTAAAAAACACAAGGCACCGGAAGAAAATTGGGGTCGACATTCTTGCAAAATTTTGAAAGTTAAAGGTAACTAGATAAATGAATAATTAGTTCAAATATTTGTGCACATTACATAATTACTTTTTTGCTTATTCTAGATACTTTTGAGGATGCGATTATCGTACTTCGATTAGCCGAAAAGTCAAACCAGTCAACATTTGAAACTACTGTGGATGATGAGGAAAGTCATCTTCCTAGACGACGGAAGCGAAATAAGCCAAAGAAGAAGAAAAAATCGTCAACATCTTCATCGTCACCATGCAAGGATTCAGTAGACGGGAGTGATATCGAGGTTCCCACGAAATCATTTACTCTACCCCCCACTTCCAAATCAAAACCAGACGTACTAAATTATTCAAGTGATTCCGAGCACAACCAACCTCCTAGCGTTTGTGCTGGTAAATACTTAATATAAAATTCATATTTTTAATTGCCGGTTATTATTTTACTTATTTGGTGATACGTTTAATTTTATAATTTTAGTGGGTCCAAATAATAGCCCTATCACATCTGGCCCAAAATTAGTTCTGGTTGATCCTGTAGCACTGACTTCAAAACCTGATGAAAGTGATTCTTCTCGAAGTGTTAGCAATCTACCTGGATACAGTGGGACGGCAGTTGGCAGAAATATTACTCGTAAAAATTTAAACCCATTTAAACATTTTACATGTTTACACTTTTTGTACAATTTTATTGTGTAACTTGCATACATTTATACACAGAATATGAGAAAATTGTCCTTGAACGGTTGACTAAATTGGAGCAACTCGTCACAGAACTTCTACGACGATCTGGCGGAATTAACATATCAATTCCTTCAAAAATAAAACTGCACAAAATACCTGTGGAGACGGTGGACGAGTTTCAGTCACTCAATGCATGGATAAAGGCGGTGCCAGAGAATCGTGATTGTTTGGTTAGGGTTCAAAATTAAATAAATTATTAAATTATTTAAACCGAACGTCATATATTTATATATATTCACTTTTCAGGTCACCGAGTTGTCTTTAATGGGTGCAAATAGACTGTCCGGTGTCGTTAGCAAAATTTTA